AAAATAAAAATAAAAATAAATAAAAATAAAAATAAAAATAAAAATAAAAATAAAAATAAAAATAATAAAAATAATAAAAATAATAAAAATAATAAAAATAATAAAAATAATAAAAATAATAAAAATAAAAATTAAAAAAAAATAATAAATAAAAATGAAAATGAAAATAATGTAAGAGACCTTGGAGGTCATCTAGTCCAATATACTGCTCAGGCAGGAAACCCTATACCATGTGTGAAGAAAACCCTATACCATGTGTCATGGTTCCGACAGACAGAGACAAATAAAGCAGAACTCCGAGGCTTGCAAGCTCCTCAAAAAACATGTTTATTGATACAAAGTATCAGCACATCAAAAGTGAAACCAAGTCTGAATAGAAACGTAACAATCCCCAATACAAAGTTAAGAAATCCCACTCCTAAAGCTATGCCAGCTACATCTTCTTGGGCGGGCTTTTCACAAAACGCCCAGCCTGCAGTCCCAGGAGCAGCCAATGACCTTGGTTCCCATGGGAGAAAATCTGTGTAATCTAGCGAAGCACCTGTTAAACCCCCTCCCTCCCTGCTATGTGTCAATCGAAAATGAGTAGGGAAAGTGGCTGCAGCCATACTCATTTTCAAAGTTGACACCATGGGTGATGAAAACCCTATACCATGTGTGATGAAAATTCACACTTGCCAACTGACTCATATTTATGGCAATTGCAGTGTCCCAGGGTCATGTGATCCCATTTTGCAGCCTTCTGACAAGCAAAGTCAATTGGGGAAGCCATATTCACTTAATAACCCTATTACTAACTTAACAACTGCAATGATTCACTTAGCAACTGTGACAAGAAAGGTTGTAAAAATGGGGCAAAAATCCCTTAACAAATATTTCACTTAGCAAAAGAAATTTTGGGCTCAATTGTGGCGGACAAAACAGGACTCTAAAACTTTAACCACATCTATTTTGAACTCTTTCCTAAAATGTGGTCAGCCTGAACATGTTTGTTCTATAGGGTTTCCTGCCTGAGCAGGGGATTGGACTACATGATCTCCAAGGTCCCTTCCAACTTTATTATTATTATTATTATTATTATTATTATTATTATTATTATTATTATTATTATTATTATTATTATTATTATTATTATTATTATTATTATTATTATTATTATTATTATTATTATTATTATTATTATGGATCATCGCACAGTCAGCCAGATGTTCAGACTGGATTTGGCATTTTTGTCTACCTATCGAGTCCTTACCCAGGACCTGGGATAGG